GGTCGCGAATCGCTTGATGTGGGGAATCATTCATCGTGATTCAGGACAACCAAACCACGGATGTCCAGCAACAGCGGGCCTTCATCAACAACTTGCTGTACTCCAAGGATGATGCCAAGAAATTCATCGACATCTTCGACGAGGACTTCGGTGAAGAGGAGAGACCCCAGCATGGTGGAGGGTTTCAGGGAAAGCACACGTTGCCCCAAAGTCCAAGGCGATGCCAAGATCGAGTGCCGGTAGCGAGCAACAAGGTGTTCCACCAAGTGCGAGCTCCAGCAGTGGCACCGCAGGTCGTGCGCCGTGGTGGACTTCCAATCAACCGGCGGGGAAAGAACGTGACGATGGTTTGGTCGTCAACCAGACCATCCAGGCTATCCTGGAGATTTCCGCGAAGGGGGAAGATGACTGGCGGGTCATGCCGGAGAGGCATGACGCAAATGAATCACACACCATCATCGAACAATGCGCTGCTTTCGGCAACCTCAACATCGGGGTCAGCTTTGTTGTGCACAGGAAATCCGGAGTCGTCATGCCCGCTACGAAGTTTGGACCAGAAGTCAAAGCGGGAGGAAAGCATCCTACTGGGAACGGTATCTGCGGCATCTGGTGACAACCTTGCTCATCTTCGATGAGAGGAGAAGAGCTGACCGCACCATCACCGCCTACCTCAACAAGCCCAACCTCGCCTGGCTCCAACTCTATGCATACATCTGCGCGAAGACAGGATGTCTTTATTCGGCAAAGTTGCCCATTGACGGTCATGACAATCCCGACACGGCCAACGCTGGAGTTTCGAAGATCCTCAAGAGGTACGACGACGGGGGAGAAGCTGAACTCCATTGCCAGCAATTGTGCGATGTCGCGACGTCAACCAAGTCCTATGTGATCCTCGACGGGCCGTTGAGGCAGAAGACTGGGAAGCACATCAGGACATTCCAATCCCATATGCATGACAACGTCATCGAGATGTCATACTACGCGTCTGACGACATGAGGACAGGTACAACAACTCCACCTGTTGCTCGTCTCAGAGGCCTGATCAACAAGGTGGCGGCCGATGGAAACCACCAGTCGCGAACTGCTTGGTTCATATTTGGTAATGTATGTATGTATGTATGTATGTATGCATGTATGCATGCATGTATGCATGTATGCATGTATGCATGTATGCATGTATGCATGTATGTATGTAATGTAATGTAATGTAATGTAATGTAATGTAATGTAATGTAATGTAATGTAATGTAATGTAATGTAGTAATGTAATGTATGTATGTATGTATGGATGTACGTATGTATGTATGTATGTATGTATGTGTGTATGTATGTTATGTTATGTTATGTTATGTTATGCATGTGTGTATGTAAAATGAAGAATATGATGAAAAGAATCATCGTAGCATCCGCTGCATCTCCAACAGTGGATGATGATGACGATGATGATGATGATGACAACGGTGATGATGATGACGATGAGGACTGTGAGGAAGATGGCAATCATCCGCGTCATCACAACTATCGTCGCGACACCCTCTGCACCTTGACCACTATCATCGTAGCATCCCTTGAATCGTTAATGGGGCCGAGCGCCACGCCTTGGCGTGATGATGATGATGACGATGATAAGGAGGATGACGACGATGATGATGATGAGCGCCTCGCCCTTGCAGACAAGGGGTCGGCGGATAAAAAGAAGAAAGAAAAATAATGATGACCACAATGATGATGATCAGGGTGATGATGACCACGAGGATGATGACTGTCATGATTACTATCATCGTAGCACCATCTGCATTACCAACGCTGCCGATGACCATGAGGATGATGATAATGATGATGACTGTGATGATCAGGATGTGACTGTGATGATAACTATCATCGTAGCACCCTCTGCGTTACCAACGCTGCCTCAGAAGAGATGATGATGATAAGGAAGATGACTGTGATGATAACTATCATCGTAGCATCCTCTGCATTACCAATGCTGCCTAACGCCACAATTGAAATGTATACAGTAATAAGAAATAAGAAAGAAGCAAGATGACCACAATGATGATGATCAGGATGATGACTACGATGATAAGGGTGAAGACTGTGATGATACTATCATCGTAGCATCGTCTGCATTAACAATGCTGCCTCATAAGAGATGATGATGATGAGAATGATGACTATGATGACAAGGATGATGACTGTGATCATAACTATCATCGTAGCATCCTCTGCATTACCAATGCTGCCTAACGCCACAATTGAAATGTATATAACAAGAAGAAAGAAAAAGGATGATGGCCACAATGATGATGATCAGTGCTGATGATGACCACGAGGATGATGGTAGGATGATGACTGTCATGATAACTAGCATCGTAGAACCATTTGCATTACCAATGCTGCCGATGTGAGGATGATGATAATGATGATGACTGTGACGATAAGGATGATGACTGTGATGATAACTATCATCGTTGCATCCTCTGCATCACCAATGCTGCCTCAGAAGAGATGATGATGATAAGGACCATGATAAGGATGATGACTGTGATGCTAACTATCATCGTAGCGTCCTCTGCATGACCAATGCTGCCTAACGCCGCAATTGAAGTGTGTATAATCAATAGAAGTAAGAAAGAAACAAGAAACGGATGATGATGACCACAATGATGATGATCAGGATGATGACTACAATGATAAGGATTATCATCGTAGCATCCTCTGCATTACCAATGCTGCTTCATAAGAAATATAACTACAAGAAAGAAAAATGATGATGGCCACAATGATGATGATCAGGGTGATGATGATGACCACGAGGATGATGGTAGGATGATGAGTGTCATGATAAATATCATCGTAGCATCATCTGCATTACCAATGCTGCCTATGACCATGAGGATGATGATAAGGATGATGACTGTGATGATACGGATGATGACTGTGATGATAATTATCATCGTAGCATCCTCTGCATTACCAATGCTGCCTCAGAAGAGAGGATGATGATAAGGATGATGACTGTGATGATAAGCATGAAGACTGTGATGACACATATCATCGTAGCATCCTCTGCATTACCAATGCTCCCTAACGCCAGAATTGAAATGTATAGAGTAATAAGAAAGAAACAAGAGAAGGATGATGATGACCACAATGATGATGATAAGGATGATGACTGTGGTGATGATGAGGATGATGACTGCGATGATAACTATCATCGTAGCATCGTCTGTATTACCAATGCTGCCTAACGCGACAATTGTTATGTATACAATAAGAAGAAAGAAAAAGGATGATGACCACAATGATGATGATCAGGGTGATGATGACCACGAGGATGATGGTAGGATGATGGCTGTCATGGTAACTATCATCGTAGCATCATGCGCATTACCAATGCTGCCGATGACCATGAGGATGATGATAAGGATGATGACTGTGATGATAAGGATGATGACTGTGATGATAACTATCATCGTAGCATCCTCTGCATTACCAATGCTGCCTCAGAAGAGATGATGAGGATCGTGAGCGCAATGATGTTAAGGATGAAGACTGTGAAGATAACTATCGTCGTAGCATCCTCTGCATCACCAACAATGCTTACTTAAATGTGCATAGTAGTAAGAAATAAGAAAAAACAAGAAAAGGATGATGATGACCGCAATGATGATCAGGACGATGATGACGAGGGTGATGACAAGGATGAGGGCTGTGATGATAACTATCATCGTAGCATCCTCTGCATTACCAATGCTGCCTCATCAGAGATGATGATGATGACCATGAGGATGATGATAATCTCTGTGTTACCAATGCTGCTTCATAAGAGATGATGGCCCCTCCTCTGCATTCCCAATGCTGCCTGATAAGACATGATGATGATAAGGATGATGACTATGATGGTAAGGATGATGATTGCGGTGATAACTATCATCGTAGCATCGTCTGCGTTACCAATGCTGCTTAACGCCACAATTGAAGTGTGTGTAAAAAGAAGAAGAACAATGATGATGACCGCAATTATGATGATCAGGTTGATGATGATGACCACGAGGATGATGGTAGGATGGTAACTGTCATGATAACTATCATCGTAGCATCATCTGCATTACCAATGCTGCCGAGGACCATGAGGACGAAGATTTGGATGATGACTGTTGCGAGGAAAATTTTCATCGTAGCATCCTCTGCATTACCAATGCTGCCTCAGAAGAGATGATGATGATAAGGATGATGACTGTGATGATAAGGATGATGACTGTGATGATTGCTATCATCGTAGCATCCTCTGCATGACCAATGCTGCCTAACGCCACAATTGAAATGTATATAGCAATAAGAAAAAAGAAAGAAACAAGAAAAGGATGATGATGACCACAATGATGATGATCAGGATGATGATGATGAAGATGATGATAAGGATGAAGACTGTGATGATAACTATCATCGTAGCATCTTCTGCATTACCAATGCTGCCTCATAAGAGATGATGAGGATCGTGAGTACAATGATGTTAAGGATGAAGACTGTGAAGATAACTATCATCGTAGCATCCTCTGCATCACCAACAATGCCTATTGAAATGTGCATAGTAGCAATAAATAAGAAAGAAACAAGAAAAGGATGATGATGACCACAATGATGATGATCAGGATGATGATGACGAGGATGATGATAAGGATGATGATTGTCATGATAACTATCATCGTAGCATCATCTGCATTACCACTGCTGCTTAATAAGAGATGATGATGACCATGAGGATGACGATAAGGATGATGACTAGGGTGATAAGGATGATGACTGTGATGATAACTATCATCGTAGCATCCTCTGCATTACCAAGCTGCCGCATAAGAGATGATGGCCCTTCCCGTGCGCTTCACCCTTGCGGACAAGGGGTCGGCGGATTTTGAAGGGACCTGGAATCACTGAGCACTGATTTTCCCGCCAAGCGCAGGGGCACTTTTGTCGAAGATTCCGTCGCTCGCTGTGAGGATCCTTCCAGCACGTGCGGCGCATCGCGACCTCGTCCATTACCGGGTGGCGGTGTTGTGCAGAGCGCCTGCTGACCAGGCAGCCAGGCCGGGGATCTCCGGAAGACTGGCGTGACTGAAGGAAGCCTATTATGCAACTTGCCTTTTTCCGCATTTTCTCCATTCCACTCATTTTTCATCCTGGATTTTGTCAGCAGTCTGGGAAATCTCTTTTTGTTCCTTTTTCCTCCTGATCCATCGGCTCCCGCTCCCGCTCCGGCGCGGTAGGCCTGTTGCACGCGGTGAAGCACCCAACGGTGCCGGCTGGCTGCTTTGCCATTGGCGCACCGGTGGCAGTGCAGTGGCCCTGGGAAGGCAAGCGACCGGTGTCAATGTGGAGTCTCTTTCTGGGGTACCCCTTTTTTGCAACACGGACGCCAGGAAGAACACCATTCCGGACACCCATGTCAACAAAACATCAGGAAATTAGCCACACTCCCCCTCCCATGGCTGGTTCGAGAACTGGGTCCTGGTGATTCCAAAAGTTTTGCTGGTTAGTCTTTGATGCCTGGCAGCCAGTTTCTGGATTTTGGCCACTACCGGGAAGATCATGAGAGCCGTCGAAATGTTGGCTTTTTTTGTTGCTTCTGGCGGTCTTTCAAGGAAGCCAACTTTTTGAGAGTGGACGCCGTGGGAACTAGCGATGCGAGTACCTTGTTCGGGCTGACATGAGCCAGTCTCTAACATGTTGTGTAGCATGTTTCCAGCCAAGGTATAATACGTTCCAGTGGAATCTATGGGCTGGCAAAAGGGAAACATATGGAACCCAAAGAACCAACGATGCGATTGTCTTTTACGAGCTTGGAATCCCAGGGCCCAGAGGCGATTGTCTTTTCAAAGGGAGCCCTGGCCCCACCTGCTATTACTCATTGCTTCAAGTTTCGCACGGAACTTGCCAAGATACCTACAAAGTTTATTCAAGCCTAAAGCAAGACACATCAACGCAATACAGCGCCATGTGAACTTGTAGGCCCAAGTTCGCGAGAGGTGTCCCCAAAACAGAGCTGATTTGCAGAGAGCCTGGTCATCTGGGGACACCCCTTGCAAGCTGCAATGAAATGCTGACAAATGCGGCTTCTATGCCCAAATGCCAGTAGTATCATGGTGATGCTGGGGCTGATGACCGCTGTAGGAAACGTGTGTGCTGCGGATGCCAGGCGCTCCCTGTGCCTGAGTCATTCATTGCGCCTCGCGCTACATTTTGTGGTCCCAAACCTTCTGTGTCGCGCAGAGCGGGTTCCCGGAGCGTCCTCTCAGATTCGATCCCCTGTCGGGCTCGTGTGAAGTTGTTTGATCCTTCAACCGCCTGGTTGCCATGCCCTGTCCATTCGGTGTGTTGTAGTTGCCTTGTCCTTAGCCTTTGCCGCAGCGCTGACTCTTCAAACTGCGACTTGTGTGTAGTGGACTGTGTGTAGTTGAAAGCGCTGTCCTTTTGCCTCATGCTAGCAAACTGTCGTTGCTCGTCCTTGGCGAGTTGAAACTCCCTGGTTGCAAATCCGCAAGCCCGTCAGGCGCCCACTTCGCGAACCAAGTCCGTTGCTTTGTGTGTGTGTGTGTTGTCTGTGCTTTGTTGACGCTTTTCATAAACAGAAGGAGCTTATGCTGCCCCTCAGCTGCATCCATTGCTCCTTCTACGGTGAAATTGTGTACTCTTTCCAGCTGTTGCTGCTTGCGGTTGCAGCGCGGCCATACTCTTTTGTGCTGTGCTGTGTTGTGCGGGATGGCCGCAAGATCTCCAAGGTCCTCAGATACAGGTGCAGCATGACAGCTCCACTAGCATATTGATTTGCGATTGTGCCTGAATGCCTGAAGTGCCAGTACGGCAGTGCTGTTTTCGGCTGGGCTAAGATGCACAGGCTCAAGGCCTTGATGTATGAGACAGGCAAGGGCAAGGCATGTTGCATTTAACAACTTTAAATACATCGGCGTTGCGTACATACTATGCACGCATAATGCCTCATCGAAACCACAGCTCAATTAGTTCCAGTTTCAAGGAAGCCACGGTAGATTTGCTAGATATGCTCTAGCCTTCTGCTATGTATGCTATGTCACGCAACAAAATCTGATAGAACTGCATTGGAAAACGCCGGGTATATGATGCCCGCGCTCGGCATACTCTAGATAGTTGTTACAGTAGGAACACGCTGAACACATTATGTGCTAGGACTGGCCTGCAACAAACGTGCGTGTGTGTGTGTGCGGAGTGGCAGAATACCCTGCCACCAATCTTAGTTGCGACTACTACAACAGGGGGCAGGAGCACCGTGGCAAGTCTCCTGCCAACGCAGACACTTGCCATCGGTGGTGATACTGGGACTGTACGTGCAAAGTGATGTTGCTGAAAGTCCTTTTGGCCCTCTTCTTTTGCCGCTGTGCGTGCTTTATGTTGAATCTTGTAACGTTTTCGTCACTAGAGGGAAGCCAAGTGAACCGCCAGCCGAAACTATTACTCGAAGACCCACGCAGTACTTTGATGAGTACCCTCCTTCGGGAGTTCAAGTGTGATCACCCCATCTTGGGGGAACCTCGGGTGTACCCATCATGTGACCCCGGGCCGGTTCGCCGGAAAATTTGACCTCAACGTTCTTATCATAGTCCAGCGGAATTTCACGTTTAAGCAGGAACGAGGTTTCACTAAAGGGAAGATAGCCACCAGATCATAGTTACGTCTCAGGAGCGCCGGGGACTGCCTGCTGATTTCTTGGTGCCTTGCATTGTATTGCCTTGTTCTTTTGCATTCACGTGGATTGCCTTGTGTTAACATGCAACTTGAATTGATTGGCATGACCTTGCGTTGTCATTAAATTGTGGTCTGTCGTTCTCATTCTTCCTCAAGGTCGATCTACACCATCCCCTGGGTTTTGCTGTGTCGTCATGTCTCGCCGAGATGAACGTGACAGATCCAGAACTCGACGCAGACGTGACAGGAGCCCAACTCCAACTCGCAAAGCTGTGCAGACGAGGTGAATATGAACCAACCGTGATCCCCGATGGCATTGATTGGTCCAACCCGATGATGTGGCAGCACAATCCGAGCACTAATCTCTCCAGTTCCATGCCGCAGTCACAGGCCAACTACATGCATCCTCCTCCTCCTCCGTTGCCACAGTTCCATCATCCGGCACCGTGCTTCCATCAATACCCCCCAGTGAACTACTTGATGCCGAACGCTGCGCCGTTCCCTCCAGAACCCGCACTTGCCAAGAATATGAAGCCATCGATGGTGACGCCTTCTCCAACCGGACGTCACCCGGAACCCGCAGCAACCCACCAGCGGAGTGGCAACCCGGCAAGGGCATGCTGGACAAGAGCCCCCTATACTCCTTCACGCTCCCCATGACCGTCGCCAATACTCCCCACAATTCCCAACGCGACATGTCGGGCATGGACATGCGTGACGTTCGCCTGGTCCAGGTCATACATGGAGGCATTTCGAACTGGCTGTTGCGACCGTTCGCTCATGGACGGTTCGTGACGTGGGAAGGGTTTCGCACACGCGCCGAAGCCCTACTGTGGAGTACTTGCTCGAAGCTTCTTCGCCGGTCCCAACCCCTCAACCTGCTTACTTTGGAAAAGGATCTTGCTGGTTCTATGCGGCTGAAGATCGATGACTTCAACCAGAGGATTAAGGTTCACGAGCACCTGGGCAATCTCATCCTGGAATTCTTGAATCAGCATCACCAAACCATCCGTCCCCCGGAAGACGAGGCGCTTCCGAAACATCATTCGCTTCAGCGGGAACATGAGTTGCTCCAAGCACAGTACCCAGCGGCACAGCGGTCATCGCCTCCTTCTGCGGCCAACATCAACAAAGGCGATGCGGAGCTGGTCACGCCACCACCGGTGAATCACTCACACTGTGTGACACTCTTCCACTCCCACGAGTTCATTGCGAACGGTGAGTGCGGCCGCATTTGATGGCATGTCTTTTGAAGGTCAAGCTCAACATCAACCACGTATCATGCAGTCACTTCATGGCATGTCACCTCCGCCTGTTGCCAAGCAAGCCACGCCTGCTGGACCGACACAGGATTCCGTCGCATCAAGTACTACACCTGGACCAGTGACCAGACTCGCGTCTTCCTCAAGCAAGCGCCTACGACCGCTACTCGACAGGCATTGATGAAGTGGGCCAATCACCCATCCCGCCTCAATGGCAACAAAGCTCTGGATGCCATGGCAGTTCAACTCCAGCAAGCACGTCAACGTTTGGCAAAAGGAGATGCACCAACATTCGCTGCCATGGCTTCTCTGTGGGGTCTGGAGCCGGTCTACATCACCAAATTGACGGACAAGGCACTGCGCTTGCTCCTTGTGACGGCTCGACTTCTTGCAGGATGATGAGATCCTTTCAGCGCCAGTATTAGCCCGGAGAGGCATGCACCAGCGTGATTTGCGGTTGAAAACTTGCATGCCATTGCCTTGTCTTAATTCTCCGGACTTGCACTTTGTCTTGACTTGCATCAGCCATTTTAACTTGCATACGTGGATTCATGCATGCCTGCACGGTTGCTTCCTTGACTTTGGTTGATGCATGTTGCTGCTGTTTTCTAGATGCCGTGGAGGGATTTCACAGCATGTGGATTGAATTTCAGCGCAGCGGAATCTTTGATGAGGTTGTGCAATGGCGTACCTCTTCTACCTTCCTTGAAACATTGACGTTTGTTTCAGCGTGCTGGTGGTTCTGCTTTCCGGAGATGTCCAGACCTCCAGCACCAGCATATAAATATGAATCAGTTCAACACTTAGCTCACCTGGACATGATCCTTGAAGTGCTTACGCTCGTCCGCATTGCGCTCCAGATTCCAACAACAGCGGTGTCCCACACACGTCATGCCGCGGCCAACAGATACGAGCTCCATAGATGCCGTATGACTGCGTATCTACTTGTTTGCTTCCTACATCGCCTTGTTTCGCAAGACAACGGATATATTCCACCATTCTTTGAAGTGCTTCATTTCTACAAGACGTCGTTGTTGCGGGACGTCATGTATTCCTCATTTGCGGACCAACAGCACCTCAAATCACTCCGTGCTCGACTTCCAAACCTATATGACTTCATACAGGATCCTGGACATCACCAACCATGGCATACCCCGTATTACAGTGGAGCCACTTATCAGGATGTCCTACGTCGTGAACATTCTCGATGCCGCAAGTATCTACAACTTTTGCGTGGCCAACATGCATTCTTTGAGCCTGCTCTTCATTACTGGAAACGATCCAACAATTACTGGCTGTTCTGCGCTATTCCTATTGAAATTCGACTCCCTACCCTTTCGGTTTGGGCCCAGGAAAGCAAATGGCAATACACTCTTCGACCTCACTTGAACGCACCCTGGGTACACAGACTTCTACAGAAAATTGGTTTTCGTGAACATCTAGTTGATTTCAGGAGGCACTCGAGCTCATCACCCACGTCATTGACGCTTCACAAACGATTCCGTCGACGTCTACACCCTAATCTTCATCGTCAACTACGACCGGAAATGATGGATGATATTCAGGCACACTACTCTACTTTGTATCGACTTGGATCTAATACAGGTGCGTCATTTCAAACAATGAGAGAACTTCTTTCGGCCGCTTTCCCGCCGACTCAACTTGATTACTTACTGCGACTCACATCATTTGTCAATTAACCGTTCCGCTCCAAGGCCCAGAAGCTCCTCGCCCAAGTCATGCGCAAGAGGAAACTCCAGGTTCGACAACTCTACATGCTCGAGACTGGAAAGCACGTCTAGGCCTATGGCTTCAACGATGGGTGTCATCGCATCGCAGTTTGTTCCCTTCATTATTTTTCCCTAAGCTTCGAGTTGTCGAAACTCGCAGTGCGACACTGGGTGATCGTCTTTACAACTACCGCAAGTGGCAACAAAGATGGACACCGGATATTTCATTCCCTTGCCGCTGCATCGACTTGGCCGATCGCACGACGCTACGTGCTCATTCTCACGCGGTTATTCTGAGCGATTTTGGCTCCATCAATGCCGCCATTGACTCCGACATCATGTCCGCTTCCATGAAGGATCAACACTATGGTGATGTGGACAAACTTCAACAACGCTTCACTTCGCAGTTTCGCAAATTAGCTCGCAGATGGAAGGTACAACGGTCCAGCCTTGAAGTTGATTCCCGCGCAATTTTGTCTGAATATTCATTGAACATCACAACAATATTCGAGACCAGGCTTATTGGACCACGGAATCATTACGACCCACAGCTCGCGCCGACCAGGCCCTCCTGATTTTGAATTTGATTGGGAAAGTGGGACTTGGGGTAGAATTCAACAATGAGTGACAATGCTTCACTGATCGCTGCCGTGTACAAACCGTTGAGTTCGGTCTTGCATGCCCTTGTTTGTGTTGATCCGTCTTGCGTGTGCTTGTTTGACATGTCTTGTGACACGTGGCATGATGCGTGCGCTGACTGCAGCCGTGCGTATTTCGGATTTGCTCTCCGGATCTTGTGCAGTCATGCCGTGGTTAGAGCGGTGCCCCGATCCTCAACAACCAGAGGCTCAATGGGTCAAAGTCTTCCACCCAGGCTCGTGGACACTACAAGGCCACCATGTTGAACCTCCTCCCCGCCACACTTATCGCGAATGGAAGTTATGGCCCAAGCAAGTCTACTCACGTGATGGAGTACCATCCACGGTTCAATCGTGGTACACACGAGACTGGACCACAGAAGGATTTGATGCACCTGAACCCGAACAGGATCTTGCTTCACTTCTTCACCCAGTCATCATCCCTGGACATGTCCCCGCAGCTGCTCGAGGTGATCTTGCGATCGTCTGATGCGTCAATCTTCTCCATCGAGGATCTCACCCGTATGCAGGCGAGCATTGGCAAGCAGCTTGATGATCGCCTGCGGCAAGCATCTGGGCCTCACCAACCAGTGCGCACTACACCCAAGGACTCGCAGAACCTTATCCGACTACCGGCCGGCCCTGCAGTTCGAGCATCCAAGGGAAGTCGATTTTTGAAGCGGGTGCAGAGTAGATTGATGAACACATGGCCTGCGTCAAAATTGTGTTGTTATGTTGGCTTGCGTGCTTGTCACTTGTCATTTGTGCATTCCCTCCCTCCTTCTTTACTGCACCATGGAGATTGATGCCGCGTCCCTGCACCTGGAATCAGATGGCCCTCAACAACCATGGCTGGAGTATTCATACTGGCATGGACAAGAATGGGTGAAGATCCACATTCCTGGTAAACTCCAACTGTGGCGCCAGCATGAGGACATACCCGCTTTGCCGAATAGCGCCTATCGAGTGTGGAATCCGGTAGTTCCTGAACACGATGGTTCACAAGGAAATGATGATCAGCGTCAACAACCAGGGCAGTGGCAACAATGGACCAATCACTACGAAGCTTGGACCATTCAAGATTGGCAGCACCAAGGTTACCAGAAAATATTGACACGGCAGGAGTCATTTACCATCAACAACGCCTCGGCAGAACCGCCGGATACCATGCAGACCACTGCTACCTCCATTCAGGTGGAAGAACTTGGAGCAGCCCAAAGCCATCAACCTCAGCATGATCGATCCCTGATGAACCTCATCTCCAGCTCCCCTCCGCTGACTGACGCAACACACCAGTCTTCGTTGATCTTCCCGCCCGGATTGCAACCGTTGATCATGCAGCGGGGTGCACCACTTCCAGCTCAACATGATGACCCTGTGTTCCCGTCTTCTCAGCGTTATCGGGCGGACCGTGCTAATTCACGTTCTCCTCACCGCTTCGGATATTTTGGTAGACACTAGGGACTTGCGGATTTGGTCTTCCGGATGAAAAGTTGCTCTCTCCCCTTGCTGGGGGCTTGTGTGTGCGCAGTGGCAGAATACCCTGCCACCAATCTTGGTTACGACTACTACAACAGGGGGCAGGAGCACCATGGCAATCGGTGGTGATACTGGGACTGATCATCCCAGCGCGCCTGTACGTGCAAAGTGATGTTGCTGAAAGTCCTTTTGGCCCTCTTCTTTTGCCGCTGTGTGTGCTTTATGTTGAATCTTGTAACGTTTTCGTCACTAGAGGGAAGCCAAGTGAACCGCCAGCCGAAACTATTACTCGAAGACCCACGCAGTACTTTGATGAGTGCCCTCCTTCGGGAGTTCAAGTGTGTGTGTTTCAAAGCTAGTAAATGATGCTAGCTACAAAATAGAAAACCAGCTAAGCACTGCACACGCTACACACATGATGGACATGGTATACGCATGAACAAGGGAAGGAGTTGACCGTTTACGCAAACACAGATAGCAACCAGCTCACACATGACATCATGAGGAATGGGGCAATGTCATAGACTCAAAATGGGTCTTGAAACCCAACAAGATGAGACACGTGCGAGCATGGGGCTCATAGTAGCAAGCGGACACACTGAAGCTACAGGCAACCACGTGATCTTTACTTCAGTTCTACGGCAACAGCAACCGACACACATTCTGGCTGCTTGACAAAGTTGTAAAGGCATTGAGATCCTCGGCAAAACAACCGCAGAGAAATCGACCTACCAGACCACAGCAAGCGAACAAACATGCAAGCTGGCTAGCTATCAAACCATAGCTAATCAATTCAGCAGCTAGCTAACTAGCCGAACTAGCAATCTAGACATTTAGCTTGCGCGTCCACCAATGAAACACCCAATGAGCAGACCAGCTAACTGGGTAATTGGCCAATTAAGCCGCCAGCTAGTGCATTGGCCTGTTGAGCTGACTACCTAACATGCTACCTAGCTAGCCAGCCAGCCATCTGAACAGCTTCATAGTCATTGGTGCAGATGTTTTCTGGGCTTTGTGTCTTGAGTGTTTATTTTTTCCTCTTGGTTGACTGTGTGTGCAGGTGGAAATGAGCTGCAAGCACAGGTGGTGGGGGTGCACGAGGATGGGAGTTACACAGTGGCTTGGCCGTACGAGTTTACGCCGCTTTTCGCCACAAGGCTTCCGAGCTTTGGGACCTCCGCCAAGCTTGCTTGGTATGTTGCCAGGTTCACTACCGCGATTATGACCGAGACTGGCTTTCTTGCACGGAGCGGCAAGTTCCGAAGGTTCGCGTGAGTGCCTAGGTGTTCTGTGCCCCTAAGGGGCCACTCATGTCGAACTGGAAGAATGCACGCGCGCTGCGGGCGCACCTTGATCCGGGAGAGGCTGTGGGAGGCCGTGGGAGGCCGTAGCCTCTCCGTGAATTGGCAGCCGGGCCAAAGACTGCCGCGGCGCCGCTCCTGCATCTTTTTGGAGCGGCGTGGGGCTCGGGTGGAGAACAGGACACATCATGCAGCATGTCAGATGGCCAACATTCCTATGCGTGTGCAATGCACGGCTTGAGAGCATTGAGAGCTGCATGGCACCTTTAGTTTGCAGTTGCAGATCGTTGGCCGGCCGAGAAAGAAGCCCAATGGAGAACCCACACATATCCAAACCAGGAAGGCCAACTTGCGCCAAGCCATGTTCTGAAGGGACGCATTGAACCTCGGACAGGGACCAAATTGGAATGCCAAAGCACAACAGTCTTTTCAAATCGTCGCCATGAACTGCTGCACAGCAGTGGACGAGGCCGAGAGCCGCCTGTTTCGGGCTGTAAAATGGTTGGTGAGTGCCGGGGGGATTCCGAAGTTTGGGGAAAGGGAAGAGAGGAAGAAGCAAGGAAGATAGAGGAAGCAAGAAGGAAGCAGGAAACCGAAGGAAGCTTGCGGAGCTTACGGAGCTTAATCTTGATCTTGATAAGTTAGGCGCTTTGCCGGGTGCAGCTGGAGAGCAGCTTCGTGGAGAAGCTGCTGCCGCAGCTGATGGACTTGGTGCGCGGGGCCCAAGCCAGCCGGAGAAAGCTTGATTTAGGGAGGGAGGGAGGTGGAATCTGAGATGCCGTGCACTCGGGTTTGCTTGACTCCATGGCCGAGAAACTGCGCGACTGGAGAACCTTTCGAATCCATTGTGATGTAAAGAACGCGCTAGGCGGTACTCCCGGTTGCTGCCGCAGGGCGAGGAGCATGCCATCCGCAGGCGCTGACAGAGGGCAAAAGTGTGAGACATCATGGAAAGCATCACCCGGCTTTGCGGGTGGGCTGCTTAAGCATGTGAGGAGGCACCCGCAAATGATTTGTGTCAGAGCAAAGTCACCGCGCTTCCTTGGATACCTGAGCGATGCTGACAACAATCGATGAGCAGCCTTGTTGCAGTGCTCCGTCGTTGCTGCGAACGCACGGCCATGCAAGCCAACACAACACCAGCAGCTCAAGTTTGGACGCAAGTTGGGGAGAAACCTGAGTGGTCAGCTCGGGCATCCCATGCAGCTAGGCAGCTTTGTTTGAGGGCACGCAGTCAAGCTCATCACGTTCCCCAAATCTGGCCACTTACAACCATCGGGGCTTCGCCAAATGGTCAAGCTGAGGAAAAATGTAGCCTACATGCATCATTGCGAACAGATGACATGTCTTTGCAACCACGCAACCATGCAAACACGACACAACACAACGCAGCGTAGCGCAACACAACGCAACACAATACGCGTGGACACATGCACACGCGCGATACACACACACACGCGCACGAACACGCACAAACACGCACAAACGCGAGCACAAACGCGAACGAAAGCAGCGCACCAACACGCACTACTGCGCACAAGCGCGCACACACGCGCACAAAGCGCGCACAAACAAACACACAAACGCACAAACACGCACAAACTCGCACAAACTCGCACAAACACGCACAAACACGCACAAGCAGGCACAACCACGCACAAACACGCACAAGCTCACCAACGCGCAAAAGCACAACCGCACAAACGCAAGCACACAAACACAAGCGCACGAACACTCACATGCAAGCACACACACACTCACTCACATGCAAACACACAAGCACACAATCACACAAGCACGCAAACACACGGACACAGACACAGGGACGCATACACACACACACACACCAACCCCCCAAACCCACAAATACGCGCACACAAACACAATCGCACAAGCGCGCAAACACACAGACACAGACACAGACACACACACACACAGACACACACACACACTATATATATATATATGCTCACCCCCCCCCCCCCCAGGGCCTACCTTTCCACTTCAAAATGTACAAAACCCTCTTATTTTTAAAGACAGGGGGTGTGAGCATATATACGCAAGAAGTGTGCTGTTGCTGCATTTTTTTTGTGGGTGACAAGTCATGTTGAGTAACAACAGCAAAGAGTTTATAAACTTTCAAGACAGTTTATAAACCATGTCAAGGGTTTGACGGTTTCCCTGCAACAAGGGCACGGGGGGGGGTCAGAACTCTTTATGGGGGGGGAGGGGGGTGAGGCTCACTGCCGGGGTGCCTATCCCCGAAGGGAACTGGTACCCTTGTGGTAGTTGAGGTCGTTGATCCCTAGATCTATTCCGGAGAGAGTCCAATATGCCAATATGGATGATTGGAGGATGGATTGTCCCTGGTGGATTGTATTGTGATATAATCCTGTAAGCGGCCTGCAAAGGTTCCTTTCTCTCACGCGATCATGAGTGTGCTATGATACACAAAAAGGGCCTTGAGCCAAACGGTTGCAGGAGATCAATTGTGTAACAAACCAAACACAAAACAGACACAAATTTCTTTTGATCTCCAGCACTAAGTATGAAATACTATTGGCTTCATGGCCTTTGACCGTAGCCTGGTTGCTTGCCGTAGCCATGTTTCTTGAAATACTACATTCATCCTATTTTCTGCGCGGATGAAATGTCTTGATTTTGCAAAATGGAAAACAGTCTGTACTGATTCTCTGAGATACCTAGATGTATCGAAAGGTGATGTACAACGCTATGTACATGCGGGACAAATGTGAAACTATTGATCTCTCACTGAATAGTCTTGTTGGCGGTGAGGATCAATCTGGTTGTAGTTCGTAGTGCTGAACGTATGAGTCTTCTCGGTCAATCGGATGGATGCCAAAGGTGGCTTTTCATTTGTACCACCGACGGCTGCTGTCGGATTGACTGCCATAGTCTCCATAATCATTCCAGGTCGAGTCGCCATAGTCCTTCCACTGCTTCTGATATCCCCACTGCTTGTTGTAGTCCTTGTATTTGGGGGGGGGTCCAGGATTGCTTCTTCTGGTTGTACTCCTTGATTCTCTCATAGTTGCGTTTCCTGGCTGCAGACTTGCTGCGGATGTAAACCATGAGGGGACTGTGCGAATCGGAATCCTGTGAGCCATTCATGAACATGTCATTGTTCACGTGCTTGAAGCGCTCTGCGGATGAGACCTGGTAATCGAAGATGGCCTGTGCTGGATTGTTCCGCATGGCTGCCAGTTGTTCATCATTCATGGCGTTCATCTCCTCATTCCGGAAAGCCTGCTGGATGTTCGTCTTGCCCCATCCAAACACGAATGTCATCATCACATCTGGGAATGTTCGATCATACCCTGATCCGCATTTCATGTGCAGGTGATGACGGATGATGGATTTGAGGGTGCACGAAGTCTCCATTGCATACTCCATTCTGTCCACGAGTGGCATGTTGCTGGTTTCATTCCATAGCTTCTGGTATGCCTTCATGAGGATGTTCATGAGACCGTTTGCCGGATTGAAAACCTGCTGGAGCTTGCTGTAGGTATTCGCGGACTTGTTGGCGTCTCCTGTGATCGCATCGCAGTGGTACAATGTCACGAGCGGCATGATCTCCTTCTGAAAGTCGTCCCGTGCTGCTCCATGGCTGATTGATGGATGGATGTGGAAAACTCCAATGGTAGCAAACGGGAGGTCTGCCCTCGTCACGTGGCGGTCGTCAAACTTGAGGAGTGACTTGTTGGTTGATTTCGGGATCATGCCACGAAACTCATCACTCTGCTCGATTTGGAGAACGATAATCTCTTTCTCTCGTCCGTATCCTTGGACAATGGTGCGTGGTGGCAATCTCGATCCAATGTACTTCTTGGATTCAGAGAACATGGATGTTCCCGTGGATGCCAAGCAGTCCGAGGTCGGAATTTCGTATTCGGGATCAGTGCAATTTCCTCTGTGCCGAAGAAACATCTGAACATTGCGAATGTGGTTCCCCAATTCTGACTCTTGGTGGAAATGTACCTTGCCAGTAGTTCCACTCTTGCGGACGGTCCGCCGCGGACGAAGCATGCGATTGGTCTTGATGACCATTGCTTGATCACAATGCCCTTGTATCCGAATCGGATGAACGTCTTGATGAGCTCTCTGGATTTCTCATCATTAGGACTGAAGAATGCGTCTGCTTCGTTCAGGCATAAGATGTGCGCACTGTTCTGCATCATCATCTTCATGATTGGTCGATCCTTCATCGGCATGTTGTACACCTCCCTGTTGTCAAGCTTTGGATTCCTCGTGAGGTTTCCGTGGTTCATAGTAAGCATGTTGATCGTCAGGGATGTGGTGAACTCATGCGTTTTGAGATGGTCCACAGGTGGACGGTCGGTCGGCTTCATCAGCGATCCTAGGATATCGGCATATGCTCGGATGAGCTCCGGGTCATCATTTGACCTAAGCCTTTTCAATCCCAGCGGAAGCTTGATGGGATAGCCGGAAAATGGCTGTGCCTGCCTGTACTCGTCCATGGTGGGACATTCTCCTTGATGATCGAAGTAGAATTCTTCTTCTCCGAGATTGACATCGGGATCGACGTGTGCCAGTGAGGCTCTCTCGCATTCTGTCAACGTAGGATGAGCTTTTCTTGGATCCTTGTTGTACTGGTCCATGAAACGGCGGAGGTTCTTCTTGGTTTCTGCGAGCTCGTCCTCGGCGTCCTTTCTGTTCATTTCTATTTCGAGGTAGTTTTCCTTGAATTCATTGATGAACTCGTCTAGGTTCTCGGTGTTGTGATACTCCATGGTGACCTTTGGCTTGACGGATCTCTCCCCGGAGGGTTCCATGGTCTCCTCTTCAGCTTCGTCCTGATCGGTGGAGTGCCGTCGCTTCTTGGTCTCTGAGGAAGTATCTTTTTCTTTGCTGTGCTGGTTGGAACTCACATGATTGAAGAAGGCATCGGCGAATTCACGGATCTTGGTGTCGTACATCTCAAAGTCTTCACGACTGAGAAGTTTCTTCATGATCCAGTTGTTGCTCATCATGATGCTACCATCAGGTTCATATGCTGCAACAATATTCTTCGCCTTGATGGTCTGATCTGTTATCGCTGTTCGCTCTTCAGAGAGTCGGATGCCGTAGTCCTGGTCCTTGAGGAATGCAAGGATCAACAATGCATCTCTTCCTGTTGGCACATGTGGCAATGCT